GAGAAATGTGGACACTGATGACTTGGATAAAGAAAATTATTCAGTTAAGTAGGCCTCCCAGTGGGACATTTGTAGGGGTAGGTCACCAAATTGATTTTGCCATATTTTCCTATTAATATATGCCTAGGGGTGAGAAAGAGCATTTAAATGTCCCATTCTGTGTGGTCAGAAAGCAACAAATCTCCGATTTCTCCATTACATTACAGAGAAAGCGCCTCTGTGAGAAAGTGACGTGCACACTAACAAACAGTGTGCAGTGCACAGGTGCCAAGAGCATGTGCCCAGAGTGCATGTATGCAGAGGAAATGGGAGTTAGCATCTCCTGATGCTCATGGAATACTGTCTCACTGGTGGCCTGCCAGGTGCCCATCAGGATCCAGGATGAACGAGAAACCCTTGTCTGAGCTGGGCATGATGATCTTCATCTATGATCACAGTACTCAGGAGGCTGAGACAGAGATTCCTATGAGTTTGAGGCCAGCCTGAGCTATACAGTGACACCATCACAAAAAAACAGGATGGAAGGAAGGAAGGAAGGAAGGAAGGAAGGAAGGAAGGAAGGAAGGAAGGAAGGAAGGAAGGGTTGTTGGAGCCAGGAGGGGTGAGGGTCTGAAGAGAACCCCTTTGGACTTCAGAGTCACTAACTGCTGGCCATCTTATGGATTGTCTCCAGTCCTTGCAGTAATCCTGAAAGATCTCCATTGGACAGGCACTGCCCTTTTGAAAACACCTGGCTAGGATATAGCAAAAGGTAAATGGCAATCAGTCCAACCCTTTGTTTAGTAATCTCTGTCTTGGAATTCATGTACTCCATGTATGAAGTTGTTTGTTTATTTTTATTACAGTGTTTCCTATATTAATGAAAAGTTAGGAACAACTTAATGTTTAATTCCAGTAATTAGATTCAATAAATTATGGCCTACCCTGCTAAGTGGAATATTATGCAGCCTTTTAAATGACCATCATAATGATTGTAGAGTGATACAGAAAATGTCAGTGTATAAAATGAGAAAACAATAAAATACATGCAGTTAATTTCAAAGATATGAAACCATTAGTTTAGGTTAATATTAGAAAAGGATGAGCCAAAAATAAGAGTAGATGTATTAGATGGTCTAATCATAGATCGCCTCCTATAATAAAAAGGCAAAGAAAAAGGTCTCCAAGAAAATGTGTAAGTAGCTGTAATTATTGAGGTATATAGAGAATAGAAATTATGTTCAGAACATACCTAGAATTACCCACTTGTGTACTTGCCACGTTGAAATGTTAAGGAGGCGGCTTCCTTTTTCTTTCCTCTCCCACCCCCACTTAGAATTTATAATTACATATTTTCAGAGCAAAAAAAAAATGTAGATTCTGGGAAGCATTTGAGGTGTTGGAAGCAAATGATAACAATAGACGAAAAATAGACGAAGGTATTTGTCCAGATTTGCTTTCCTGCAAAGCGCAGAGCTGATCAGATTCAGAATGCACGTGCTTTAAATGTTGTCTAAATACAGATCATGCAGGCCTAACAATGCTTGGCTGCAAAACTGCTTTTCTGGAAGAGGCTGTAATTATTCATCCCAACTGTGTCCGAAGAATGAGGCCTGCTCTGTCCCTTCTGGCCTCTCTAAGTCATTTTCATAAGGCTCCCCGATTCTGTCGGCTAGCATGCAGACTAAAGTAGCATAGCATTAAAACCTACGTATTCCAGTTTCTAGAGAATGTTTCCTCTTTAGAGAACAGTCTGTGGTTAAATTACACCAAGGGCTTTGGCTGTCGGGATTATTTTCACCTTTTTCTCACAGTGTTTGACTCTCTCTGTTTGTTAACTCACTTGTTGGGATTTTGGTTCTGAAATTCTATTTGAAACACATGGTTACTGGTCAGTTATATGCTTACATGTGAGATCTTGGAAGTCAGTAAGATTTAGTTCAATATTGTGAGCTTGTGCTGCTTTCTCTCCCTGTGTCAGGCCATACTCTGGACACATTAATGAGTGGCCTTTTTTTTTTTTTTTCTGGAATTTTGTGCTCTTCCTGCTTCCTTTCATTACATTAGGCAAGGCTCCACTAGATGAGACATTTGCAGTCTTAAGACTTCCTGCCGGGGTTCAGACTTTGTATTTTTGACATTGAAGCTGTCGTGTTCCTGAAGCTACTTAATTAGAAACACATTCATTTCGGTGTACACTGGAAAAAGCTCAGGCACACTGGGAAGTTGGAGCATCTGTGTGGCTGGCAGCTAAACTAATGGTTTACAGTTTCGGGGCAAAAATATCACAGGGCACTTCTTTGCTTCTTGAAGCAAAGAGAAGCTGCATGTGCCCCGCAGGTACCTGGAAAGGGGAAAAAAGGATGGAAGAAAATGCTAGAAGAAAAGACAGCTCTGTTTCTTTCCACTGTAGTTTGTTTGTACAGTTCTTTCTTTGGCTATTATCAAATACAAAGTCTAGAAGAATAGTTCTCAGATTGTGCGGCTAATATTTAAGTCTGTCTTCCAGGCTCCTAAGATACCTGATTGCTGAGATCTGTAGTAATTCGGACAGTAATGTGTTCTGAAGGATGGTTTTGCTTGAAGAATTGTATTTGTTGAGTTGTAATGAGGGAATTGCAGTGTTTCTTCTTTTTTTAAGTGTTCAAGCAATTTTTAAGCTTAAATGTAATGTCTAAGAACTTTAGTTGCCTCCCCACTGATTTCCAGATGCAGCACAAGTTCCTGGTTTGCAGTCACCCCCTCCCTCATTGTTTCCCCAGGTCTGCATCCAGGGGGATATTCTTGTCCCTCCACTGTGACTTCCACAGCTGCCCCTGAGGGAAAGTACCTGGACAGCCTAGTTCAAGCCAATTGTCTTGACTCTAATTTCATTAAAAACTAACCCTGCTGGTGTTGTAGGATGTGTGACATACTTGGAAAGACATCGAGGAAAGTTACCAGTCATTTCTGTCCTTCCTGCCCTTCCTCTTCGACTCCCAAGGAAGACAAGGTGTGTTCGGCAACCTGGGGACCAAGTCAGAGCCAGCCTGGGTTTATTGCTTGCTTGACTTTGTGGCATTAGATAAGTAGTTTAGCTTCTTTTAGTCTATTTTCTCCTTTGTAGAATGGGGATTATTTTGTGGGTGGGAAAAGGTAACTTCATGTAACCATTATCACCAGAGGGAAACACCATAAATGAGTGTATGAGTGCAGTGGTAACTCCCTTGAATCCACGAGAGTGACTGTGGTGATGTCTCCTAGTAACTGGGGATACTGAGCCAGAACTGGCCATCTTCTATAACCAAGCAAGGAACCTAGCAGTAGAACTGGCACATCAACCCAGCCACAAAACCTTTATCCTATAATCTGTCCTGTCTGCAAGTTGTACTGGAGCAATGGTGGTACAGAACTTGTGGGATTGACCAACCCATGACTGGTCCAACTTGTGGCCCACTCCAAGAGAGGAAGCCCATGCCTGACACTGCCTGGATGGCCAGGAACCTGAGGCAAGACAGATCGGAGACCCAGGATAGAACCAAACAGTATGGGGTTGCGGGGGTGGTGGAAGTCAATGAAATTATTCCTAATGATATTTGCATAGATCAGTGCCTAGCCTAATTGTCATCAGAGGGATGTCATCCAGCAACCCATGGGAGCAGATGCAGAGACCCACAGCCAAGCATTGGGCAGAGCCAGGGGAACTGCAGAATATGGAAAGGAAGGATTGATTGTTAGAGCCAGAGTGGTCAAGGGTACCATGAAAACACAAGACACTGAACCAACTAACCAGAGCTCATAGGGGCTTACAGAAACTGAAGGAACAAGCAGGGACCCTGTATAGATCTGAGCTAGGTCCTCTATATGTACCTTATGGTTGTGTAGCTTGGTATTCTTGTGCTACTCCCAACAATGAGAGTCGGAGGCGTATTTCTCACTCTTTTACCTGCTCTTCAGACCCTTTTCCTCCTACTGGGTTACCTCGTTGAGCCATAATAGGAGGGTTTGTGTTCAGTATTGCAATTCTATCTTGTTAGGCCATGTTTGGTGGATATACTAGGAAAGCCTGATCTGTGTGTGTGTGTGTGTGTGTGTGTGTGTGTGTGTGTGTGTGTGTGTGT